TTACATGTCAATTTTATACTGAGTTATAGTATCCTTGCTGGGAAATTTAGTTCTCAGAATAAACATGCTATTTACTTCAGGAGTATTTTCAAGAGTTTCTAAATATCCAAACCAGTATATTACGAGACCTGGACCAAATCTATTCCAATAACAAATAAGTTGTTCTTTTAGATATCCTAAATGATTCTCTTCATCACCAAATAACGCTTTGCTTTCAATCCAATTAACTACAAATCCGTCCACAGCAATGGGTACATCTAATTTAAAGTCAGGAGTCTTGTCATAGCCTCTTAGCCTAAGTATGCTTTCATCAGAAAATGTTATATTCATGGTTTTTAACTCTTGTTCTAATCGTAGTTCATACTCCAGTCCAATAGACCTGAAATTTAATAAATCATAGTTAAATTTTATTGTGAGACAGTTTTATATTAAGTTTTAAATACTTACTGTTTAATAATATCAGCATATGGGCCATATTGATTATCGTGCATAATACCCTATAATGAAAAACATGTTTGCTTAAGTCAATAATAAAAGCTCAGGGTTTCAAAATTTATTACATTGTTACAATGTCAGATTGAATGAAATTAACTAAGCCAGCCCAGCTCCTTCCAGAAGCTCAGAAGTTTCCTGGGCACTTCACAGGCTTCTACAATTAACTAATTAGTGACAGTGTTTTTATCCAATCTCCTAGTTTGTAACTATATAATAAATTTACAATGTTACTATGCCTAATGGTCTTACCAAAAACACTTGAAAAGCTAAATCTTTATTTTCAATAATTGTCGAGTCTTTTAAACATTTTTTTACCATTGTTGAGTCTGTGTATACGTTTTGTAACAGCGATCTGACAAATAGAGCAGGACTAATACCTTGACTATCAGCCAATCTGTAACAAGTTAAAAGTGAATTAGAGTGTTCCAACACTTTTTAATTTCTAGTCCAAAAACATGTGCATACTGTATTATAACTTCACTTTTGTCTTCTTTCTTGATTAAATTTTCATATAAATCATAATATCTACTGGAAATAACAGGTGATTTTCTATAACTTAATTTCATAGATCTCTGTACCAACATAGAAATTATACTTCCAATGGTTGTAGATGGTATGCTGGAATAACAGGGTAATAATTAATTGTACATTTATTGTTGATTGTATTTCCATATGATTATCATAAGAACATACTCTTTATATTTTTTTCTAATCATATTTTCAGCCTTTCGACTAAAAGATGTTAGTTTGTTAAAATCTTCAACAATCGCCAAATACAATTTGTATGGCATGGGTTTGCTTTCAATTTGTGATAACATGTTATTAATTGATTTTACTAGCCGCTAAATGACAAATTTTATATAGGAAAAGCTGACCGATTATTTAAAATTCCATCGGGAACCAATTTAAAGATCGTATTAATTACAACACATATATTTAAAATACTATAAATAATACACAAACATTTAAAACGAAATATCAGTACAATGTTTACACTTTTGACTTTACAATGTAATGTACTTGTAAACATTTTACAAACACAGACTTTCAGAAGCAGCTAAACTTGACGTAAGCTACAGATCACTTTACTTTAGATCACTCTTTTGTTTTGATTTGTTACGTGACTGATATGGAAAGCTAAAAATAATCTTTATATATTACTAGCTGGCCTGGCGAACATCGTACCGCCTAACAGTCGATTCTTTTTTTTTTAAATACTTATTCTGCTATTCGGGACACCGGTCTAGCTAGTAAGATAAAAAAAAGAAAGTTGGTAAGACAACAAATACATTACGTCAAAAAATTAAAATTTACCTTCCCGGAACCCCTCCACTAACACTTAAACTTTATGATATGGTATTAAATTGACTTTTAAGTATTATTACGAATATTTTGTATGGGAATATAGAAAAGTGTTGTTTTTAGACTTTTTCACTCAATTTTTTTTTTTAATTTTTCTCTCCGTAAAGGTGCGCTTACACGGGCAACTAAAATTGCTCAATTCCAGTCAATACTCGTCAATTATGACGTCACGACTACATCAAGCAATTTACGGCAACGGCAACAAGCATCAATACTGCGCAATACAATATTGAGCGATATGGCGCAACTTCATCAACTAGGCAATACTGTCATACACGGGCATTTCAGTTTTCGCTCGCTATGGACGACATTGTTCTTGCTGCGGCGGCTTGTAGCGCTTTTTTTTATTATTAATCAAAAACAAAAAAGATAGAAAAGGAATAGGCGTATCTGGGTGCGATCGTTTTTGGCAAAGAGGCCGCAATTTTCATTGTGTAAATAATGAGATGACATATTATTCAACTTAAACTAAAACTAAACCTAACTAAAACTTTACTAGAATGTCACGAACAGACTTTGAATTACTTTTGAATAAAGTAATTAGAAATTTTTATTATTTAGACCTCTCGCTCTCCTCGCGGAAGCAAGACGGCAAGCCGCAAAACAAACAAGTGCGAATGAGATATATACAAAAATTGCTAGG